TATTATCTGCTATAATGAAATAGAACGCATTTGCACGGAAAAGAATAAAAATGCTTACTTTTATCCTTATGGGATATTTAACAAAAATAAATACAGAAATACTTTCAGTCCTGAGACAAAGGAACCTGCAAAGTAATTGCTGATTCAGTCACTGGGCATGAAAACGGCTTATTTCTGTCAACTAAAAGAAATAATACGTAAAAAGACACTAAAGAAAGGAGAAATATTTTTATTTCACAGAAACAGATCTGTGATTGCAAAAATTGACGTGCAAAGCAATAATATGTTTTGTTTTGTTTTTAATTCACAAAGCACTTTCAAGTCTGAGATTGAAAAAAATAAACCATAAGATTACTTGAAAAATATCTCCTGGAGTCTCAGTATTTTTAAATTGTTTAATTTAACTGTGGAAAATTAGAAGCACTTTTATAATGCTGGCAAGAAAATCAGGTTATATCTTTACATTTTCAAGCTCAGCGTGAACTCTGCTGTAACCTTCCTGGCTTTTATTTTTCTGCCCAGGCAGGGCGGTGAAACCCTTAAGATTCACCCCTTGGGGCAGAGCCATTTTAAATGCAGTACTCTCCTACTTGTCAGACAAAAGAAAGCAATGAATCATTGTCTCCAAACCAAAACTAAGCTGGTTAATTGCCTGGCTATCAACCTTGACAGTTAATGTTGACATTCAAACCTTGGGATACAGGGAAAATGAGTTTTTAACGAAAGAAATATGAAGTGGACCATTAATGACGTTCAAACTGGAGTGAAACCAAATCTTTTTTTAACGACAATAGTAAATAGTTTAAAGATGTATTACTTCTTGTTTTCCAGTCTGCCTTCTTCTTTACCACAACCAGTATAGGATATAATAATTCTAAAATAACAACCTTCCCAGTTATGTTATTGTAGATTCGTTTTACAGCCCAACCCAGTGCAAAATAAACATGGGTAATGAATTGTTCCCATGAACTGACATAAAAAAGTCTGTTGACTGTCACTAAAAACTAGTACACTTTTTAAACCAAAAAAACATAGAACTCGGAACACAAGTCTTATTCCTAATTTATGTCATCTAAGACTTTGTTAAAAAGAGCCATCAACTCATTGGTAAATAATATTTTAAGAATGTTATTGTCCCTAGTTGTCATTATTCACAGACTACGTATAAATGCAATGATTCAGAGGGGAAAGTTAACTTATTTATTTAGCCTTAGCTGCTGTAGCTCATGAAACTGAAGTTCTGTGTAGTTTCAGCCAAAAGTGGGCAACTAATGTTTTTTATTATAAAACACAGAGGTGACTGATTATTCAGAATATTTTTTTTCACTTTAGTCAGCTGGCGTGCAACAAACTCAAAATGTCATGTAGGGAGGATGGGAGGATGCAATAAGAGCCATATTTCTGAAAGTGAAATTTCTTTTACGCACTCCCTCTTTTGGCTTCTAAATTCAGGCACTTTAGAGAAACATCCTTTCCTTAATTCAGGGCCCTAACTTACACAGAATTTAATGACATCTTTATTCTAACCTGCATCTTAGGTCCCTGTGGTAAATGAAACATCAAATGTTTCGTCCTTTCATGTACCCCAAGAAATTTAGATTCGTCATTATTTTGAAAGAAGTACGTGATTGTTTTATTGATGCAGACAGAGATGAGGTAAAAAGCAAACAAAGTACTTATTTAAAATTCTAATTCGCTGTAACTTTTCTTCAGTACTGGGGATTGAGTCTAGAATCTTGTGGGTGCTAACTAAGCTCTTAGCACTGAGCAACACTCCAGCCAACCTGCCCATAATTTTGATTTTCAGATTATTATTTCTTCAGTTCTTCTATTAATGGAGGTTGAAAAATTAAATAAAGAACACCAAACAAAACACATGTACAAATCAATTCATAAATGTAAGTCACATAAAGCCAGAAAAGTATACCCTTGTTTGATGTTTTGAATTTTTCCACCAATAAACAAGTTCTTATAACCAATCAACTCCTGTGCTTATGATGAGGCTTTAGATTTGGTATGGTGTCTTTCATCTTTGGCCTTCAGAACCATTTATGGGCCTTAATTAATTCTCACCACACCTCTCTGAGACAAGATGGTATTATTTTCCTCTCTTTATAACTAAGGAAATGGAGACAAAAGAGATTAGGATGAGATTTGCCCAACTATGCAGAATAAATCAAAGGCACATTCAGTGTGAGCTGCAAAACTACTCACAAATAAACATGCCATTGGCCTCTTCCTTTCGCTTCCCTATCAGGGTCAATGCTCTAACACCCTCAACAGAAAATGTTTATCACATAGAAACATAAGTTGAATTACTTTTTCACTCTGAAAAAATTCTGCTTCCTCTTTGGAGATGTATTTGTATTGCCATTTTTTTTTTTTTTTTTTTTTTTTTTTTTTTTTATTTTTGGCAAAACAGATTGGGGGGCACAGTCTGAGACAGAGTCTCACTATGTAGTTGAGTCTGACCTGGAACTCCCTATGTAGCCCAGGCTGGTCTTGAACTCTCAGCGATCCTCTTGCCTCTCAGCGTCCTGAGTGCTGGGATTACAGGCGTGCACCACCACACCCAGCTACAAAACAGATTTTTGATGTGATATTCACATGTTGCAATTAAATATACAACTTGGTATTCTGAGGAAATTAGGATATGCATTGCTTACAGTTACGCACCAAATGTTCAGGAAATGCATAGTACAAAGCCTCAAATCATTTGCAGGAACATTTTAGGATCTACAGAGGCCATTGACCTAGAAATCTTTATGGTAATATTATTATAATGCAACTGCATAAAGTGGCTCACATTGGCTTGTTCAGGCTTGCACTTGTTCAGGTGTGAACTGAAGACCTGCCATACCCTATTACAACTCATTTATCTGCTTTTGCATGATGCCTCATGTTGACTCCCAAGTAAACCTGTACATCCTTTTCTCTATTAGACTTCAGTGGCGAGCATCTGCTACAAAAGCAGCGCTGGCAATGGAAGCCGGGTCCCATGCATACTAAACAGGCATTGTATCATTGGCCGGCACCCTGAACCTCAAGACTTTTAATAATTCCTCTTCATTTTTATTGAAGTAGCTCCCCCAAAAGGTTTACTTTAATGAAATCCAATGGCTTGGTTACATGACTAACTACTCTTTTTTAAAAAGGTACTATATTTCCAAGTAAAGTACCAAAACTATCAAGACTTGAAACATATTTGAAGGGTAAAGGGTATATAGCCAAGTGGCAGAGCACATGCTTTGCATACATGAGGGCCTAAATTCAATCCCTATTGCCAGGCTATAGATAAATAGATAGACAGACTCGTCATTACTAGAAGAAAACTTAATGGTCTTTATGATGCTCTACTAAGCTGCATCCAATCATTATACCAGCAAATGCTTCTCTCTCTCTCTCTCACTCTCTCTGTTGAGAAGTTTGTCTAAAACATAATACCAAGAATACCTTGAGGAAAAGAGAAGCAAGACAGGTAAACATACCATTTCATTTTTGAAACATTATTCAACTATTTTAAGTTTCACTCTTCATACGCATTCACCTTCCTTACAAAAACCAGTGAATTTTTAATTTAGGATATTACAAATCACATGATTTCAGCCAAAAGCATTTTGTTTAAAATTTTATTAAATTAAACCATGGTGAGCCGGGCGTGATGGCACATGCCTGTAATCCCAGCACTCAGGAGGCTGAGAGGCAGGAGGATCTCTGAGAGCTCGAGACCAGCCTTGGCTACATAAGTGAGTTCCAGGTCAGTCTCAACTACCTAGTGAGACCCTGTCTCAAAATAAATAAACCATGGTGAATGTCAAGTCTTTGTATATAAACACACACGTACACTTTAAGGAAAATGGAAAGGCTTTTAGATATAAATGAATAATTTACTCAAAGTTTCAGGGTCAAAAAAAGATTGAAATGTGTTAACAAACCTTAACTGGTGGAAATTTTAAATATTTTCCAGAGTCCACCAGAGTGTACCCATCTTGACATGTTACAAAATAATCTTTAAACACAGATGGTAAACATTAAGACTGTATCACAAAACCAGAAACAAGTGGCATACTCATATTCCTCTTGAAATAGAGTAAATACAATATTTCTTTCCTCTCCTGATTGTCCTACACTTGGAAACCAAACCAATTAAAAACCCGGGAAGCTTTTCACTATTACATAGGTGCTGTTTACACTGTCTACCCACTAATTCATTAGGAGACTGGAACTGCTGGAAAACAACAGGAGTATACAGGGAAACCCCAGTGGTGGTCTTTCACATGTAAATTAATATTTTATAATATAATAAAATTCCTAGAATTAAAATGAATAATAGAAATAAATACTCCTAAAGTAAGTATAGGTGTTAGACACTGACCTTGTGATCCTTGCCACGAAACTTAACCTTACCTGCCGGGCTATGGTGGAAATACATTGTTTTCCCCAAAAAGAGTGTTTTGAAAAGACAGACTCATCTTCTTTGACTATTTATTACAACTTAAAATGGAATTGTTCACAATTTTGGATGAGTTCGGTTGCATTCAATTTGTTATATACTCATAAATATTTATCTTAGGGAGTAGTTGACAAACCTACTGGTTCTACCTGTAAATTTAAAACTAGGTCAATTTTATCATTCAGGGCTAAGCAGCATCCATCAATCTTATCTCTCCAACAGCAAAACTGAGGTAGTTTCAAGGTAAAACACTTTTATTTTCTTTTCCTTTTTTTTTTTTTGCGGGGGGGGGCTTTATATGCATAGTCATCACATCAGAAATCATCTCTCCTCTTAAACCTTTCTAAATCTCAAGGTAAACCAGGCGTGGTGGTACACGCCCGTAAGCACTCGGGAGGCTGAGGCAGGAGGATCGCTGTGAATTGGAGACCAGCCTGGGCTACACAGTGAGTTCCAGGTCAGTTTCAACTACATAGTGAGACCCTATCTCAAAAAACAAAAAACAAAACAAAACAATCTCAAGGAAAAGTTATGCTACTTTCTCTGGACCCGTGGGCATCTTCACCCGGATAGGGGCCCCAGGGATCTGCTACCTCCCTGCAGTCATCAAAATGTGAAGTGAGCTGTTGGCTTAGACACAGCTTTGCTGAGTGGAAAGAGACACAAGCCTCTTTCGTGCTCGCTGGCTGGTGGCTCTCAGCACTTCCCCACATCCAAGGCTCAACTCCGCAATTTGTTACTGCAGGTTCCTAGCACAGCCCCCAGGGTCCTTAAAAGTCGTCTTCCTCACACATGTCAAGGTACACTTCGAAAGCCTCTCGCTTGCAGTTTCCATCGGGAGTGAAGACATATTTGTGGAAGGTTCCATCTACGCAGATGGCAATAACGGAGTTGACGTTCTTGGCAGTATTGCAGGCGAAGGCGCAGATGCAAGCTGACTCAGCAGGCAAATGGAATCTCGCCAGGCTCCACTGAGAGGCCACGTACTGCCCAATCATAGGCCCCACCTTGCCCAAGCTAGCCAGCGCAGAGCGGCGGTTGAGACGGGTATCCTTGAGAGCGAAGATATGCACAGTGCCCTTATCACTGGAAGCGCAAAGGAAGCAGGAGTCATGGCTGAAGTTAATGCAGTATACAGTGGCAGGGTCAGCACCTCGGCGCAGCTCTACTAGTTTCTCCTTGGACTGGGTGTCAAAAAGGCGAATGAGGGTTCCCTTCTGGGAAGCTGAGGCCACCACGGTGCCGGGCCGGTTCAGGGACACACAGGCCACGTCACTCTGATGGGCACTGATAGTGAACGGGGCAGACGAGGTGCCAGGCTTGGCGCTCGCCAGGTCCACAAGTTGCAGGCTTCCACACTTGCGTCCTGGAAACACAAGCAGTTGCTTCTCCCGGCTGGGACAGAGATCACAGAGCCCCTTGGGGTTGTCCCGAGTGTCAAACTCAAACAGCTTTCGGGGGCTGTCGGGGAAGGAGTACACGTAGATGCGGTTCCTCAGCGCGATCACGATCTTGTCATGGCGCACGCGCACAGCCAGCACCGGGGTGGCGAAGGTGAATTCCAGCACCAGCTTGTCTTTGGAGTCCTTGCCTTCCCGGGCATCGTCCCAGATCAGCACTGACATCTCGGAGAACTTGGAATGGCTACCACAGCCCACCAAGGCCAGCAGGTTGGAGCGGTGCAGCATCTCTACCAGGCCCATGCTGCCCACCTGCCTGTAGTCCAGACGCCCCATCTCCATCAGTGGCTCCAAATTGTAGATGCGCACGCCTGTCTCCATGGCACAGCAAAAGCAGCTTTGGTCTTGGTTGAAACGCAGGCTGGTGACCCCTCGAAGTGGCTGCTGAGTCATGGTTCAGGATTTCTCCCCTGGACACAACAGGATAAGGGGAAGAGTCCTGAGGTCTCCCTTCCAAGTCTTAGAACTGCTCCCAAGTGATGTCTTCCACTTCTCTCCTCTTAACTTCTTTGCCAGACTTCCGGGCTTTGGTGCCCGGCTCTAGTGTTCGCCTCAGGCCCCACTTCCGGGGGAGGGAGTCTATGCCCGGAAGTGACGTCCGGCGGAACATCTTGGTAGCTGTCCCTCTCCTTGGGTTCACGGTTCTTATGACCCTCCCCCGCTCTACAGCAGGATTTTCCAAGGAGAGATCCGGGAGCCGAGGAGGGTTGGAGGCTCCCCAAGAGACTGAGCGCGAGTGAGTGAAGCAGAAAGAGCTGCCATTCCCTTAAAGTCATTTTCCTACAGTTAGCACGTTCTTCTTTGTGCAGTCCTAGGACCATACAGAATATACTTAATGTAGCCTCTATGTGGCTGCCGCGCCCATGTCAGAAATAGAGCAAAGCACCTGAAATTATGTTCACATGCTGTACAAGCCCTGCAATTTCCTAGATGTCTCTATCAGTTTCTGTGCATCGTGAGTTTTTAATAGATAAAATAGCACTAGTTTGTAGTGGTAGTAGCATTGCTATCTTACCCTAATAGCCTAGACTCTCTTGTGCTCTAGGCATATTTGAACTCAGTTTCAAAAGCTCTTTCATTTTTTACTGAGAGCAATTCACTAGAACATCCTCCCTGTTATTCACAATCAACTCTTCATGGTTGTTTCCTTGTTGATTTTCAGTGAATTTAAAAAAATCACTTTGGTGTTACTGAGGTCTGCATTTTCCATGGAATACTAGCTGTGCTGGCTAAAGATGGGAAATGAGAAGAGAAGAGAGTGATCAGTGTCTGGGCAGGGCATAATTACTTAAAAGTGGACAATATGAAAGTGGAAGAATATATAACAAGGATATTTTTCACCATAAAGTACTACTCTGTGCCAATCAAGGTACGGTGTATCGAAAAATGAAGAAACATGGTCCTTCATCTCAGAAAACTGACAGCTCTTTTTTCCTTTCAACCCTTGTCAAATCACTCAATTTTCCCTATTCTAAATTTTTATCATACTAGTCAGGGTCCTTACCAGTTCATTCTTGGATTACTATGACTCTTCCCTATAAGGTTTGACATCAGACCGCCCAAATAGAAAGACCCGATTCAAAAATGGGTGTCTGAAATGAACAGAAAACTTCTCAGACAAACAAGTAAAAGCAGCAAATAAATATATGAAAAAATGTTCCACATCACTGGTTATCCAAGAGAGGCAGATGAAAACAACACTGAGATTCCACCTCACCCCACAAAGAATGGCTGCTATCAAGAAATCAACTAATTAATAACAAATGCTGGTGGGGTTGTGGGGAGAAAGGAACCCTTCTCCATTGTTGGTGGGAGTGCAGACTGGTGCAACCACTGTGGAAATCAATATGGGGATACCTCAAAGAACTAGGATTAGAGGTCCCATTTGACCCAACTATTCCTCTGCTGGGAATCTTTCCAAAAGAATTGAGAGAATCATACCACGGTGATATATGTGCACCCCTGTTTATAGCAGCACAATTTGTAATAGTTAAAACTTGAAGACAGACCAACTGCCCATCAATTGGAGACTGGATAAAGATGTGGTTCTTCTGTAAAACAGGGTACTATTCAGCCATAAAGAATGAGAAAGTAAACTGGGAGTGGTGGTGCACATCTGTAATCCCAGCACTTGGGAGGCCGAGAGAGGAGGATCACTGTGAGTTTGAGACCACCCTGGGCTACACACTGATTTCCAGGTCAGTCTCAACTACATAGTGAGACCCTGTCTCAAAAACCAAAAGAAAAAAGAACGAGAATGTAGAGACATTTGTAGCTAAATGAGTGCATATTGAGGGCATTTTTTTTTTTTTTTTTTTTTTTTTTTTTTTTTTGGTATTGGGGATTGAACTCGGGTCCTTGTGCTTGCAAGACAGGTGGCAGAACCACTGAGCTAAATCCCCGGCCCTTGAGGACATCTTCTTACGTGAAATAAATAGGACACACGTGTAAATACCAAATAGTTTCTCTAGAATGAAAAACTAAAAGTGTAAGTAAGGTTCAAATTGTATAATTAATAATGTGAAATAGGAAGAAAAGGTCTAAGGGAGTAGGGGAAGCGGGAGGGATAGGGGAAAGGTAAGAAGGGAAAATAAAATATATGAGAAAAGGAAAAGTTGGAAACAAAGTATTTGTAAATAGGAAAGAGAGAAGCGAGGAAAAGGAGGGCTGGGAAATGGGGAAAAATTAAGAACCAAGGTACATCATGTAAAGGTACAAGATCCCAATGATGAATGTAACTGTACTGTATCCCTAAAAAGTACCAATAAACTTAATGAAAAAAAATAAGATAAAAAAGTCTTGCGTTTGGTAAATCCCCTACTTGATCCTGATTGATTCTGCCTTCTAATTTCAATGTTCTTTGCATAACTATCTGTTCAATAGGTTCAAGAATTAATGCCATTGGAATAAAGTTTAAATTTGTAATATAACAGCTGGGTGTGGTGGTACACGCCTATAATCCCAGCACTTGGGAGGCTGAGGCAGGAGGATCACTGTAAATTTGAAGACCAGCCTAGGCTAAATAGTGAGTTTCTGGTCAGTCTCAACTACGTAGTATGACCCTGTCTCAAAAAACCAAAAAAAAGAAAAAAAAAAAGCAAATTTGTAATCTAGCCTTAGCCTCAATGCTTGTAAAATGAAACAACAATCTATTCATCAACTTTGCCTGCTGCAATATCTCTATGAATGTTGTAAATTAAATTCTGGCAAATCATTCCCTATATATGAGACACATTTCCCATTTTTTCCTTAGATTACAGAACTGCTTATATTTAGAATTCTATTGAAATGCTACTCATCTAAGGTCAAGTTCATACACAACTTCTTCCATAAAAACTACCCAGAATACTCTCTCTCTCTCTCTCTCTCTCTCTCTCTCTTTTAAATGCTTGAATTTCCTTCTTTTTGTTTTTTGTTTGTTTGTTTTTGTTGTTTTTTTTTTTGAGACAGGGTCTCACTATGTAGTTGAGACTGACCTGAAACTATGTAGCACAGGCTGGTCTCAAACTCAAAGTGATCCTCCTGCCTCAGCCTCCCAAGTGCTGGGATCACAGGCGTGTGCCACCACACCCGGCTTGAATTTCCTGCTTTGTATCACTGCTACAGGGCCAAATGCTGGCTTGTATTGTTATATTCATTTCTTGCTTCCTTACAAGTATGTATTTTTTTTAAATTTTTATTTATTTTTTGGTTTTTTGAGACAGGGTCTCACTAGGTAGTTGAGACTGACCTGGAACTCACTATGTAGCCCAGGCAGGTCTCAAACTCACAGAGATCCTCCTGCCTCAGCCTCCGGAGTGCTGGGATTACAGGCATGAGCCACCAAGCCAAGCACAAGTATATAATTTTTAAAATCTACCTTTGCTGTATATAACTCAATAAATATTGGAAGTGTGAATGAATAAAATGAGAGCTAATGTGTAAGTAGAAATAAAAGACATGAAAATCTTTGTAAAAATGAAAGAGATGGGGCTGAATTTTTAGTTGAGGAAAGGGACCTCATTCGCAGTAATATCTTGATTTATAGTTACAAGAAACTTTTAACTGGGGCTGGGGATTTAGCTCAGCGGTTGGGTGGCCTGCCTTGTAAGCGCAAGGACCTGAGTTTGATCCCCGGTACCAAAAAAAAAAGAAACTTTTAACTCCTCACATTCTTTTTTGTGATGTACTTCATCCATTTATAAAATATTGGGGAGGAACAAAAACTGTGTTGAAGTCAGGGAGTGAAATCATTGTGAAAATTTCAGGAAAGAAATTAAATCAGAATATCTAAAAACCTGTTTGACAGTTCTTACATTTTTGAGTATCTGTTAACAGTAAAGTAACTTTCTAAAAAAGTAGTGTTATTTGTACCCAAATGATTAAATGTTTTAATTATCAAGATTTATGTGCTGAAACATCTTTTCTATTTATTTATGGTGCTGGGGATGAAGCCCAGGGCCTGGCATATGCTAGGCACATCCTCTGCCACTGAGCTATATCTGCAGTCTGCTGTTCATTGCTGGTCTTCTATGTCCATGGTAGTGAGGCTCATTCTAAAATTAGAGTAATTTAGCAGGGCGTGGTGGCTCACACCTGTAATCCCAGCACTCAGGAGGCTGAGGCAGGAGGATCTCTGTGAATTTGAGACCAGCCTGGGCTACATAGTGAGTTCCAGGTCAGTCTCAACTACCTAGTGAGACCCTGTCTCAAAAAAACAAAAACAAACAAACAAAAAAAGGTTAGAGTAAGTTCTCTTATTACTTAGTAGGTACTTGAGACCCTAGGTATTTTAGCATTACATTGAGCTGTCTCCTAGTCACTGAAGCCCATTAGACATTGTTGCTTCCAAAAAAAGAAATATAAGAAAGAAAAAGCAAAAAGGCCTAAAGATGTTAGTACTGCAGTAGCTCCTCCCCAAAGCAATAGAGCCAGAGTCTCTTTTCCATTGCCTAAGATACAAGATCTAAGATTGAAAAAAGTGTGCAAGACAACTGCAGAAAGAGGGTAAAGCAGTTGTGTAAAGCATTTATTTGCCTGTGGATGAAGCCATACACCCATTGTCCTCCCACTCCCCACTGGGCCGTGAGAAGTCTATAATCCGCACTGGTTCCATCACCGTTCCAACACCATCTTCAGCGATAAGACACGCAAATATTTTTCAAGTTGTAGTTAGACCTCAGGGCCCTGACTAAGGGTGAATTTCCTGTAGGGCATGACAGTCTTGGGCAGGAATTCTTCAAGCGTGCAAGGTCAATAACACAATAGAGCATTTGCCTAGGCTTGTGGAACAATCTGCTTTATTCTCTTCAGCACGGGTGGGGGAGGTTCGAGGGCCTCCCACACTGGAAACTGTGCTTAAGAGATTTGGCATCCTGAGAACTTACCCAGACCGCGGGGAGGAAGTCTCGCCCTACAGATGCGCTTCTGGGAGATTTCTAACATAGCCACTCCTGTCGAGGGCGAAACTGGCTGGGAAAGATGGACCAGCCTCCTACTTTACCCTAACAACACATCAGTCAAGTCAAACTTATCTGTGCGGGAATTTCTGCTCTAATACCTCAGAGCGATACATG